ATATATAGTATTATAGTTAATGAAAGATGATGAATTAACTAATTTAAATGTTGGTGTTTTCTTTGATGCACCAGGATGGAATCACCCTGATGTTTTTGCTTTACATTATTTCTAAAGACTTATTGGTGATTATAGAGCTGATAAACATACTGGATTCCATTTGAATGCTCCAAGTAGATAATATAATACTATGCATTCTATTCTTGGTGGATTACCTGATGTTACATATTAAAGATGCGTTTATTATGCATATTCAGATACTGGTCTATTTGGAAACTATTTGATTGGTAATGAAGTCTTTGCTACTTAAATGGCATATGTCAGTCAAATGGTTTTATCTGATTATGCTTCATCTGTTGGATAAGTTGAAGTATTTAGAGCTAGAGCCAAAGTTTTTAATGAATTATTAAGTTAAGAAAGTTCAGCCAAATAATCAAGAGAAATTGCTTAATAAGTTTTGTATCTTTTACTCATAAAAATTTAGCTATTGGGGAAGAAGAGTACCAAGAAGTGAATTTGCTAGAAGAATATCTGCTCTTGATGCTGGTCATTTAACTAGAGTTGCTACTAGACATTTCTGGGATAAAGTATATATAGTTAATAATTTAATAGGATATCTCTGTTGTTGTATGGGGACCTACTCACTTATTAGATGCTGTTGCTCATTATAATAGATCATGGAAGAGAAGCACTTTAGGTGGATATGCTTAACCATACTATGAGGGTTGATTCATTAAATAATAAATATAAAGTTTATTCAATTATTTTTAACTTTTGTTTTATCTTTGTAACTCATTCTAAATAATTAGATTGGGTTTTTAAATTAACTAATAATCTTCAAAGATGTTACTTATCAACAGAACTTCTTTTTAGTTTATTAAATTTATCGTCAAGACATGGACTTTCATCTTCATTCATTTAATTATGACTATTTACTGTAAAATCCATAATTGAAGGGTTATTTATTAATCCCAACTAAAATTCTACTAAAGATTTATAACAATTTGGTTTCACATCCAAACTTAGTTTATGTTTAACTTTTATTTTCTCTTGAGCTGATGTACTTCTTTCAGGTTATTTTGGTAAGACTTCAGCTTCATTATGAAATGATCCATATCTAAGATTCCTTTAATATGCTATTAGACAACTAATTTCAGGTTATATATCGCTATATTATAAATTAGATTCATTAAAAGAACTAACACTTTTATTTTTAAGATTCATTCTACTATCGCATAATAGTAAATTATTATTTGGACTATTATTAATAATAGATGGTCTTCCATTTGATTCTCTCTTAGAGGGTCCAGTGTCATCAAATTCTTCACTAAACTTTTTTTTATTTGGTGAATAGATTTATTGAATTAAATATGATTAATCCTATAATCTTATCGATTATTATTTCTTAGGTGATGTTGATCCTGATTTTCTCTCATAATTAAATTCATCATACCAATCAAATCGATATTCAAGTTTTTATTAATTTGATACTCTACGAAATAATTACTAAAAATATCTAAATAAAAAAAATTACTACAATTTTACCTATAATCTGGTTTTGTATGATAAGTCATTTTTTTAACTATATCTATAAATCTCATAAATTCAATTGGTAAATCTTAACATAATTCTTGAGCTGTTAGTCTCATTTTCATCAAACCTACAATCTTCACTTTCTCATCCTCATTTTTATAACTTATATTCTACCATGGTAAATTCCCTTTCAAAAGAAATCTCTATATTAATATCCTAAGTACATCAGCATATATCCTAATGATTCTAAATCATCCTTTCTTGATAATTCATACCCTTTATGAGCAGCTATACTTGCATATCTAGAAGTTCCTAAAAATGGCTTATTCTCTTTGTAAGGACTATTCTGTTAATCTATATGATTTACATAATTTTATCATCTTTATCTTTGAATAGTTTTGCAATACCATAATCCACAAGATAAATAAGATTCTACTCTCTTTCCTTACCTGTTAATATATTTTCAGGCTTTATATCTCGATGAATTATGCCCCTTTCTTGAATTAATAGTTTACTTATTATGAATTACTTCAAGAATAGTTAACATTTAATCAGCGATACTCAGAACGCATCCCAAAGTAAAATATTTCCTTTATCTTAAATAGTGTGTTAAGTCTCTTCCCAATAATTGAATTACCATCACATTATTCCCTTAATCTTTGCCAGCCCATAATAATTTAGGAACTTATGCAACTCCCTATAAATTTCTTAATATTTAAATCTAAATATAGAACAATTTGCAATCTACCTCCCTATCTAAACTAAATAAATCATCAATTTCTTGCTTTTCTATTTTTATAGCCACATAATTTGTTGATCTCAAGTCAAATCCTTAATATACAACTCCGAATGAACCAGAAGAGATTTTCTTTTTTATTACAAATTAATTATTGAAGATCTTTTAGGATATAGCAGCCATATTAATTAATATATATATATTCAATGCATTTTTATATTTTCAATAAACTTATTGCTTAAAAATGTTTATTTATTATGCATTCCTCAAATCTATTAGCATTAATGTTTTATTATATTAATCTCTTTTAAAAATTATAAATCATTATCATCCAGTTAAGGTGAGAATGGCTTAAACAGTGTCATTATCAGATTTCTTAAGGGCTTCCACTGCTTTACTTCTATCACATTTACAATGTTCCATAACCATTTTAATTGATTCAGGTGGAATACCTTCATCGCTAATTTATTCTGAAGTTTATGGTTATTATTATTCATGTTTTTCTTCGACTTATTTAGTACTACATTAAAAAATGAAATTATTACACTTGTTAAGCTAAATTATCAGCTTCCTTTTTGCCAATTTAACCAGTTGGGTCATGTACTTTAGCTTCTCCAAAAACAATGTAAGAGTTGTCAACATTAGCTGATTTAAGGATTTCTGGGTTATCAATGTAAAGAAGGAATTATTTTCCTCTTTTAATTGTAACTCTATTGATTCCAGTCACTGGCTTCATTCCTAATTTAAGCATAGCCTTTTTGAATTTCTTTTCTCCTCTATTAGCTTTCTTGTCTTTATCGTCTCCTCCTTTATGATCATGACCATCATCTGAATCCGAATGATCATGAGCATGATCGTGAGCATGGTCATGATCATGATGATGTTCTTATGTTTCTTCCTTTTATTCTTGTATTTCTATCTCCTTCTCTTCAGCCATTCAATATAATTTTTAAATTAAATTTCAATCTTGATTAAATTTTTCAAATGAGGAAGAATTTGCAATTAATATTTACAATTATAATATCTGATATATAAAATGATTAGATTCTCATTATAGAAAGGATAATAAATATTGAGAAAACAATTATAAGCATTCTCAACTCAGTAGAATCTCATAGAAATATTCATAGATGATGTACCTCATAAAGTAAGAGCTCTAATTTAATAGAAAATAGGTTGATCCATCAGCAACAATATTTTAAGCATGTTATTCTGCAGGTGTAATTATTCCAAGATTTTGTTATCATGAAAGATTAGCAGTAGCAGGAAATTGTAGAATGTGTTTAGTTGAAGTTGAAAAATCACCAAAGCCTGTATAATTAAATAAATATTCTAAAAGGTTGCAGCATGTGCAGCTTAAGTAGCTCCAGGAATGAGAATTCTTACAAAAAGTGAGAAGACTAGAATAGCAAGAGGTGGTGTAATGGAATTCATGTTAGCTAATCACCCTTTGGATTGCCCTATTTGTGATTAAGGAGGAGAATGTGATTTATAAGATATTTCTGAGCAATATGGGTATGATATTATTATATTATTAAATTAGATATGGGGATAGTAGACATAATGAATATAAGAGAGCAGTTGAAGATAAAAANTCCAAACTAAATAAATCATCAATCTCTTGCTTTTCTACTTTTATAGCTACATTTTCTGTTGATCTTAAGTCAAATCCTTAATATACAACTCCAAATGAACCAGAGGAGATCCTCTTTTTTATTACAAATTAATTATTGAATATCTATTATGATACCATAGCCATATTAATTAAATATATATATTCAAAGCACTTTTATATTCTTAATAAACTTATTGATGAAAAATATTATTTTGTAATACATTTCAGAATTCTATTATCATTAATGTTTTATACTATATTTATCTACTTAAAAATAATAAATCATCATCCAGTTAAGGTGAGGATGGCTTAGACAGTGTCATTGTCTGATTTTCTAAGGGCTTCCACAGCTTTGCTTCTATCACATTTGCAATGTTCCATAACCATTTTAATTGATTCAGGTGGAATGCCTTCATCACTTACTTACTCTTAAGTTTATGCCTATTATTATTCATGTTTTTCTTCGACTTATTTGGTACTATGTTTTAAAAATTAAATGATTACACTTGTTAAGCCAAATTATCAGCTTCTTTTTTACCAATTTAACCAGTTGGATCATGTACTTTAGCTTCTCCAAAAACAATGTAAGAATTGTCTACATTTGCTGATTTTAAGACTTCTGGGTTATCAATATAAAGAAGGAATTATTTTCCTCTTTTAATTGTGACTCTATTAATTCCAGCTACTGGTTTCATTCCTAATTTAAGCATAGCCTTTTTGAATTTCTTTTCTCCTCTATTAGCTTTCTTGTCTTTATCATCTCCTCCTTTATGATCATGATCATGACCATCATCTGAATCTGAATGATCATGAGCATGATCGTGATCGTGAGCATGATCATGCTGATGTTCTTGTGTTTATTCCTTTTATTCTTGAATTTCAATCTCCTTCTCTTCAGCCATTCAAAATAATTTTTAATTTAAATTTCAATCTTGATTAAATTTTTCAAATGAGGAAGAATTTACAATTAATATTTACAATATAATATCTGATATATAAAAATGATTAGATTCTCATTGTAGAAAGGATAATAAATATTGAGAAAACAATTATAAGCATTCTCAACTCAATAGAATCTCATAGAAATATTCATAGATGATGTACCTCATAAAGTATGAGCTCTAATCTGATAGAATATAGGTTGATCCATCAGCAACAATATTTTAAGCATGTTATTCTGCAGGTGTAATTATTCCAAGATTTTGTTATCATGAAAGATTAGCAGTAGCAGGAAATTGTAGAATGTGTTTAGTTGAAGTTGAAAAATCACCAAAGCCTGTATAATTAAATAAATATTCTAAAAGGTTGCAGCATGTGCAGCTTAAGTAGCTCCAGGAATGAGAATTCTTACAAAAAGTGAGAAGACTAGAATAGCAAGAGGTGGTGTAATGGAATTCATGTTAGCTAATCACCCTTTGGATTGCCCTATTTGTGATTAAGGAGGAGAATGTGATTTATAAGATATTTCTGAGCAATATGGGTATTAAATTATTATATTATTAACTCAGATATGGTGATAGTAGACATAATGAATATAAGAGAGCAGTTGAAGATAAGAATTTTGGTCCATTAGTAGCAACAAGTATGAATAGATGTATTCATTGCACACGATGTATCAGATTTTCAGATGAATATGCTGGTGTAACTGAATTAGGAACTAGTGGAAGAGGAAGGAATACTGAAATCGGTACATACATTGACAAAATGATCACTAGTGAATTACAAGGAAATCTTGCTGATATCTGTCCAGTTGGTGCATTAACCAATGGGCCTTATGCATTTACATCAAGACCATGGGAATTAAAGTCATACGATTCTGTAGATGTTTTTGATACTATCATACCTTTTATTTAAATTGATACAAGAGGAGCAGAAATAATGAGAATCTTGCCAAGAATTCATGAAGAAGTAAATGAAGAATGGTTAAATGATAAATCAAGATAAGCTTTTGATGGATTAAAAAAATAAAGATTAACATTACCTTTAGCTAGAGATGCATAAGGCAATTTTACTGATTTATATTGGCCAGATGCAATATAATAAGCAGCTAAAAAGTTATAATCTGTAAAAGGAGAAGAGATTGTAGGAGTAATTGGAGAATTTGCTGATTGTGAATCTATTGTAGCTTTAAAAGATTTATTGAATAGATTTGATAGTGATAATTTTGAAATTAGAGGAACTGGTGTACCTTAATTAGATGCTGATTTTAGAGCTAATTATTTATTAAATTCAAGAATTACCGGAGTTGAAGAAGCTGATGTACTTTTATTAGTAGGTACTAATCCAAAAGTTGAATCTCCATTATTAAATTCTAGAATTTTAAGAGCTACTAGAAAAAATAACTTAAAAGTATTTCTTATTGGATCAGCTAACGATTTAACATATAACTATGTTCATTTAGGAAATAATGCTTCAATCCTTGATGAAATAGCTAATGGTACTCATCCATTTGCTGCCAGACTCAAAAATGCTAAATT